GTTGGCACACAGTCGGGCCTGAAAATATCCATTTTGTACAATTTGCTTCGCTCCGCCCAGTTTTCACCAATTCCTCCCGCAACTCCTTGCTGGTGCATCCCTGCTTACGAATAGCCTCCTTGCCAGCGGCCAACATACGGATGACCTCCTCTAGGCCTGACCAGGGACCCAATGAGCCGGGTTCAATCCCGACACCCGATAGTATTCCCATACTACGTTTCTTGAGAGTAGGAATGTCCACCACGGCACTTGAAGAGATTGCTGCCTCCCCCGCTCCTTCAGCCTCCTCGAACTCCTCCATCTGAGATGAATTATGACGGCTCTTCACATCGATCGGACCCTACCGCAGCCGCTTGCTTGAGATCCTCCTCGTCGGCCTCATCTGGCAGCTCCTCATCATCAACGTACCCGCCTTCCTCCTCATCATCATCACTGCCAAAGCCGGAGACTTCCTCCGCCTCTTCTTCTTCCTCGTCATTGTCATCGCGAGGCCTCTTCTTGCCAGCAGGGATCAGCAGGCCTTCATCGAGATCCTCAACATCATCATCATCATCACCTGTACCAACCAGTACAATACTGACCATGCCATAGCCTACCCAGAAGATCCTCTTGATGATGATCAACCGTTTCCTCTTCCTCCTCTTCCTCTTCTTCCTCAGCGAGAGGAGCCTCTTCCTCAGACTCCTCAATCGTCCCCTCAGCTTCTACCTCCAGCTCAGGGGTCTCCTCATGCAGGACCTGACCATTAACGTGGAATGCCGTCTATTTCCTTCTACCGCTACCTCCACAGCTTCAGTCTGCTCCTCAGAAGTCTCCTTCTGCTGAGCAGCCTTCTTTTCTTTGTTGATGAAGGCCTGCTGACGCCTTACCTTCCTTGAACGCCTTGCCATTGAATAGTTCGGAGTGGAAGAGCTGAAGTACGAAATCGATATTCGCGTCATGAACTTTTGTCAAAAATGTGAAACGTGAATCGCTTCGCTCCGCTCAACTCTTCACGCGCCATAAAATTATCCGGCTTAGTGATAGCACTGTGCGAGTATCTTGAGGCCCTCTTGTACGTATGTACGATGGACCGACCTCACCTGCCGAGAATTAACTGCTGTGCGTTAGCAGCTTTACGTGAAACTCACTGAGGCTGCTTTTTTGGGAGGAAAAATTGTGGTTCGAATCGAAATGAAGATTCTCGTGCAGCCGTCTTGACGGGACTTGTCGGTTTTTGTTGATTCTACTACGGCCTAATGGCAGCAGCGACAGTCCTCGACTCGGTATCTCAGTTTTATATACTCTCGCCACGAGGAGATACCATAATCACGAGGGACTGTAATGAGGGGGAATCTTAGGTTGCGCTGTGGAAGATTCAAAAGAGGTCCAGTAGAGGTCCATTGTGTTCGCTCTCATTTAGTCCGAGGCGACATCGTCAAGGGCACGGCTGAGATCTTCTTTCGGAAAGCGAAGTTTTGGAATGGCGGTGAGCCGCCGCCGATTTTCGTAATACTAGGAAGGGGACTGAAGTTCGCTGTCAAATCGATCGTTTGTCCATTTTCGGGCCTATTTTGAATCTTTCCAGAACCTAGATGGGATATCCTACATCTACGTCAAGCGGTCTGGTCTCTACTTCGTCCTCACGACCCAGTGTAACGTGAGTCCCATGTGGGCAATAGAGCTCCTTAACAACATGATCAAGGTGAGGTCCCGGGTTCGAACCTCGGCAAGGGCACATTATTTTTGTAGGTTATCAAAGACTACTGCGGGGTTCTCAACGAGGAGTCTCTTCGGAAGAATTTCGTCTTAGTATATGAGATTCTAGATGAAATGATCGATTTCGGCATACCACAAACCACCAACACTGAGGTTCCTCGTCCCTCACTTCAACATTGTCGTCATCTCGATCGAGCAGGTCCTCAGAAACTGCGTTCATAACGAGGCCATTATGGTTTCGGATAGTCCTGGTACGGTCACCGGCGGTGGCATCCTATCGTCGCTGCCAGCCTTCAACACTAGTCGAACTATGCCTTCTACAGCGGTAAGTTACCGAATCGGGGAAAAGATATTTTTCATGCCCACAGGTCCACCGACCAATCGGCCCCGTAGCTCAGCATGTCCCACAAGCTCCCCCGCAAGTGCCAGTGTCGGCGGCGAACTCCACTATAGCGGCGGCTCAGAGTGTGGCCTCCTCGGTAGGCTGTTTTTGCTCAGATTTGGTCGAGGTGTGGTATAGGTTATTTCTACGGCGACTTCTGCGGTGTCTAGTATGGCTGCAGGCCACATTCCTGGAAAGGCCGTGCCGGGAGATCAGAAGAACGAA